CTGGCAGATAGCTGATGTTATAAGGAGTAACTTAGGCTACTTTTATTTTAGAAATAGTATTAGGGTTCCGCGCAAAAAAATTAAAACCCATGAAATCCAATCGCAATAAATCGCAACATCGCCCGCGTAGAACAGTTTTAAATAAATGGTAAGGTATACAGATTCTCTCGAAACCGTACCAGATCTTTCTGGAACTTCCCACAGTTCCCTCATACGATACTCACAGGACGTAATGGGATGATAGATTCTAACCGTTACCGTTACAGCCTATTAAAAGCTTACTGCTGCAAATAGGCATCCTCGTAGACTGCCTCATAGAATATATGCCATAGTTGCCACGCTTGGTAGGTGGGTTGGTGACTGCAGTTTTTAGAATTTCGTGCCCAAAGTGTTCTTCCAAGCAATGGGAAGTCTGCTTTTGTCTCATAATACCTACGATTAATACATAATACCGACGGGACCCTATTATTAAGCCTCCGCTCTTTCGTCCGTCTGTCAGTTAGCGGGCTGTATCTCATGATCCGTAATAGGTAGATAGCTTAAATTATCGCTATAAAAGCAAATAATAAAAATAAATTAAAAATAAAGGGGACTTCCTTACTAGGACCGTGTTTTACGTTGGTACGGAACCCTTCATGGGCGAGTCCGACTCGCACTTGGCCGGCTTTTACTTAATTTTTAGTTATTATTTGGAAGACGCTACTATACATCTCCTGGTTTGTTTCCCTCTGTCGCCTCTTCAAACACAGGATGATATGGTGTAGTAGATATTCTTACACCGCCATTATACGCTCATATTATCTTATACCAATGGCTATTTTTAGCAAGATGAGTAACTGTACTGCAGATAATGCAAGGTCAGTTATTAACGGGACTGTAAGGCGCTCTGTGCATCTGTCTTAATTCGATCAGTAGAGTAGGTTGTATGTGTCCTTTTATATACAACTGTGGTCGTATCGCATTAGCGTTGTATTGAGTCATTGCCCCTGTCTTTTGTACTTAAAATAACGCCACTATAATATAGGATATATTGCGAAGTTCGTAGCTACTGGTCCTAAACTTAAGTGCGACATGACATATAGTGTTATTAAAGATAACATTTTGTTGATGTCGCTTGTTTTATCATTATTTGATACGTGGTAGAGTCCCGCTATAGCTATATTATGGCTAGGGTATACGCATATATGGAATGGGTCGACTCGACCGGGGAAGGACCACGCTCTCACGGAAGACTAATTAATTATCGTGCTAATCTGGGCATAGCTTAAGTGTGCACTCTAGTTGATACTTATAACTTAACACTAGTTATTGTGATTTGTTTTGTCAGTCTACCAAAAAAAAAAATATTTAATCTTTCCTCGTTATATTCGTCGAAGAGAATTTTGGTGCTACCTATTAGAGCATACAGTTTTGACGTTATCAAAACAAACAAACAATCTTTATCAGCGCTTACTGAATGCCATCATGTATTCGTCATAAATCGGTAGCATAGCGCTATCGGAGTTTTCCGATGACGACGTCTCGATACGTCTATATCGATTTGTCAGAGAAATAATCGAAACATGCGTATTAATGAGCATGGATTACATTAATGACGTATGGTCAGGTGATCCACGATAACGGTGCTATTTCTGACGTAAGCCTGCAATACATTCGATTTGTGAGACACGTGTTTAACATTATCTGTACATATAAATAAAATTGAAGTGTCTTTCTGTAATATAGAAATAACCATTTTTTAAATTTTTGTGTGTCTTTCTATCTGTCTTTCCGGGCATATCTTCGGAATGAATGAACCGATTGTAATGAAACTTTACCAACAGATGAAAAGCGATGCCGGGAGAAATATTTTATCCGAAAAACTGGAAGATTTAAAAAAAAATACGAAAAATTGATAAAAGAAATGGTCTTTGATTATCTTAAATCTAAAATAACACCACATTAATAGACACACCCTATCCAGGCGAAGCCGGGGCGACTCACAAGTATTAAATAAAAATCACTGTCGCACTTATACACATTACACAACTAATTACGGTTTGCTTCGTCTTTTGTTATGCGAAGAGCAAGGGAGTGCAATAATTTGCCGGCGTCTCTCTTTCCATTCGACTACAATATAAGCGTCTTCAAAGCAAAAGTGACCACCTGGTCACTCATATTACGCTGAAACAGTGCGATTTACCATCTAGGGCTTCATCACCGCCGCTGGTATAAGCCCTAGGCGAATCTGTTACAGATTGTGTAACTTCTGAAAGATTTGCCCGACTGAGGTCATATTTACATAATATATTTGTTTTGTCGAGTCAATTGTTCAATCCTACGCTAGGATCCGATAGATGGCGCTGCAGACGAGTTATTAACAAATTATATATTTATTTAACAAAATTATAATTGATGAGCTGTAATGGTAATAGGTAAAAGTATTTACACGGTAAAAAGTCCTTAGTGAATTTAGATAGAAACTCATCCGGCAACACAACGTTAGTTGGGCCAGCTAGTTTGTATAATTAACCCTACCTAATTAGACTCTGCTTACAGTCTAGTTGTTAAATAATTTTTAGCGCACTCTTAGTAGGTACCCTTCTTAACTAATAAGTACGAGTAACCCTCGGAAATCCAAAGTAGTTAAATAAAGATTTCATCGCTATTTTACAGGCTCTCTTTTTTTAATTTTATTTCTGAGTATGTAAGTATATTTCTAAAATGCATTTATCTTTCAAATCTGAATAACTTTATGTTATTGTGTGTTGAAAACAATTTTGCACAACACGGTCCAATTGTGGCAGTGTAAATATGTGTTGATTTGTAAATTTTAACATATATGTACGATGGAATAGCACGAGCCAATATCCGATAACTTTCAAACGAAGCCAGCCAAGGTTCGCGAGTCACTTGTCGTCTTATGTAACGTTTATATATATTGCATATTAAATAGCCTTCGTTGTGGACTGGCCGTTGAACGTTATAAATCGATCGAAGAATATGTTAAACATACGTATTACTTTTAGAATAATGTTTATTATTAATTTTTTTTTAAATAAAAACAAAAGCGTACTAGATACGCAATAATCAACGGACCGATAAAATTTATTATACAGGTGAATTCTTTGACAATGCAATATCTATGTCCTCTAATAACAATAAAAAAATTCCTATGCATGCATGCAGCTGACTTTCATTTCTAGTATTATGAAATCACTTCATTATAGCTGACATATATTAAAAACTAGCGATCCGTCCCGACTTCGCACGTGTGATTGCTGGATCTCGACAACAGTGCCGCCTACCGGGTCCAATGAATCAAATTATCTAGGGTCCCATTTTTTTTATAGGATAGGGTGACAAACGAGCACACAGTCCACCTGATGGTAAGTGGCTACTGTGACCCATAGACATCTACATCTATCATCAATAAAAACTCAAGATGCAGATGCGTTGTCACCCGTGAGGACTAAGATGGAATGCCTCTTTGCCAGTAAAAAGGGTCTCCGGTTCTCTAACACGTACAAAATATATCATCAAATACTGTCGAGCCGTTTTTGACTTTTAGCCAGAATAATATACAGCAAAAGATTTTTTTATTTTATATAGAGATAATATTCAAAATAAATGTGCATAAAACGCTTGATTTTTATAATTCATTGTATATTATGTTCATTGGTTCAATTACATTATTAGTTATATTTTGGGATGGATATGAAGTAACTTTCTCTAGCTCACGCTACCGCGGGCTTGACAAATAATTTATAATTTTGTTATACCTTTCTAATTAAGCCTTAAGGATCTGTATCCCACGGCGCCGTGGCACAGTGGCTTAGCAATGAGTTGTTACGCTGGGAGCCGCGGGTTCGAATCCCGCACGAAACATGAATTTGTATAGCCTACAAATTATTGTTCCGGGTCTGGATGTTTGTCCTTGTGCAATTTGTGTTTGTAAACTGCCTCCACGATACAGGAGAAAATCCTAGTGTGGGGGTAACGTTTTTAAAAAAAAATTAAGAAATAAAAAATAAAAATGACTTAGCGTCGTAGCTGGTGATAAGAGGGCTGGTTATTTTCTCTCTCAGAGGATAAATTTAGTCATTCAGCGAGGAAACGCAGCCAGCGTTCTTCTGAAGATCGCGGAGAGAAGAACTGTAAAATAATTTAAGTTTTAATTTTAGTTTTTGGAACGAAGTTCGTTATCGCACGGTACGATTTTGACGGATGGGGGCTAAGCGAGAAAAAGTGTAAGATTTTTCCTTCGCGACCCCCTTTCTATAGTGCGAGCGAGATGGAATAATACCCATCTCACTTGCACTTTCTCTTATCTTGCCATGAAAGAAATAATATTTTAAATGACGGGTCATTTTAATAGACGCTAGTACATAACTCATTTATTTGTATTTGTTAATCAATAATATAATACGTTTATCAATAATAACATACTACGAAAGGAACTTCGTTCCAACCGAGTGTTTCACGACACTCAGGTGTGTTCTTTTTGTTATGGTATGAAATATTGTATATAATATATAATATTGTATATATAAATTTAAAATAAATGATTTAATGATCAATTATTTTTTATTGATCTGAGTTAATTTGAATTAATCACTACAGACGTCTTGCATCTTTGATGGTGCTGCTCGTCCCCGGTCTAGGTATTTAACGTCTGGTGTTTTTTTTATAGACGAGGGGGCAAACGATCTTGCGGCTCACCTGATGGTAAGTGAATACCGCTGCCCATGAATAACTGCAACACCAGGGGAATTTCAGGTGCGTTGCCGGCCTTTTAGAAAGGTGTAATTTTTTTTCTTGAAGGTTCCTAACTCGAGTCCCTAATCCCTAAGGTGTAAACGAGATGGATGTGCTGCCATCAGTTAATAGCTTCAAATGATATTTTAGGGTTGTTAACGTGGTCAAAATTATTTCAGAAAATCATTGTAAAATCCTGAGATTATTTTACATTCGTCATTTCAAACTCATCACTAACGTTATGTTTGTACATTTGTCAACAGAGGTGACGCAAATCGAGGACCCGAGGCTAGAATGGCTCAGCATACAAGAGGCGATGCTGAGGGAATACCTTCATACAGCGCAGGAGGCGCTCGATGTAAGTTATTTTTGAAAATAATTTCAAGCGCTTGTAGCGTTAGACCGTCGCGGCACGACTTTGCCATTAGGATAGTACGCATTATTACACGCATTATTCGACACGTTCGAACGTTTTAGAGATCTTTATAAGTACATATAATGTTTTTCTTGTCCATTGTATTTATATATAGATATATTTTTTAGTTTCTAGAAATATTGCATTGTTGGCAGGTCTGAGCACAGCAAATGCATGCGCGTGCGATCTGTGTGCACGAGGGAAAGAGAGAGACATACGAATGACAACATAGTAAAGATGTTGTTAGGACTTTCGTGGGACAAGGAATCTGATTCTTTCAAGTACTCTGTGCAAATACCTAAAATTCAGGAAGCTATAAAAAAACGGACGGACGTATCGTGCACGTAATTGGTGTGCTCCGGTCACACATTTGAAAATATTTTCTGTACCAATCTATCCACAATCATCGAAATAACATAAATGTTTTAATATGTGTTTAGATTCTTTTATTACTTCATGCGTGAATTATTTTAAAAATGACGAAATTCGCATAATAGTATAATGAATAAAATATCACCAATGAATGTAAACAATTATTATTGATGGCGATTATACAATATGTAAAAAGTATTTTGTTTATTGCACACATCGAACGCCAAATCAAAAAATCGCGCTCCACTCAAATCACTTCCACCAGCTTTATATTGCACTTATATAATAAAAAAGTACACTAATAACAAGACGAGATTATTATTTATTTCGGTTATTATTAAAAAAGTTAATTGAAAATAAATTCACTTGGACGTTAGTAATTGGTCGGTATGGATGTGAACAAGATATCTTTCGAAAAACTGAACTTATCACTTTGGTTTTTTTTATTAACTTAAATTTTAATATTTAGGAAGCCTTTTGAATTTCACTATTGTAAACCGTCCCGTTCATTAATTATTTTTTTTTAAGAAACCAGTAAAAAAATCGTGTTAATTGAACAGAAATATTTTTTTGTAGCTCTAAACGAAATACATGTTTCGGTAATTAATAAAAGTACATTGATTATTCAAAACATTACATGACCTTTTGAGATGTTCACTTTTGGAATTTCCAATTTTTTTTTAAATATTATCATGTCATGTTATTGGTATTAAAAGAAAATTTATTTTTCACATTAAAATATTATATTCTATTTAAGCCTAATATAATACCTTAAAAATAGTTCAAGTTAACATACCCATAACTTTTTAGGTAGTTATGAGTTAAATCAGTAAATATTAAATAGGCCCTTTTTACTGGAAATGAGGCATTTCATCTTAGTCCTCACCGGTGACAACGCATCTACATTTTGATTTCTAATAGAGGATAGATGCAGATGTCTATGGGCCGCAGCAACCACTTACCATCAGGTGGACTGTGTGCTCGTTTGTCACCCTTATCCTATAAAAAAAAAATATAATTTCTCAACTTAATAAGAAATTAATAAATGCATTTATTATTCATTGTTTATAGAATATTAATAATTTAATTTGTAAAATATTTCCACCAAGTATTTTACGAATTAAATTATTCAACGCAAAGTTATTTGTGTAATAGCAGTATTGTCGTACGATACTGGCAACAAAATTCCAAACGATGGATGTTAATTAAAAAAAAAGATAATATCGATTAATAACCGCCTATCTATAATGAAGGCAGTGAACAGTACATTAAGCGCGATTCGGGTTCCTCGCACAGATAACGTTGGAATGCGATGGTTCTGATAACGGGAGATAAGCTATAAGTGGCTGCGTGTATTGTTACGAATTGAGAACGCGACGTAACTGGGGAAGGCGTAGAATTACCGCCAATACGAAAAATGAGAGCTTTATAAATGACACGATTAAAAAATGAAAGGACAAAAGTTAATCATTATTATCATCAATATCGTTACGGGTCATAGCCCTTCACAAGCCAACTGCTGAACATAGGCCTCCCCCAAGGTCGTCACTCCATCTAGTGGGTGACCCTGCAATTCGCTCACTAGTACGAAGCACCCACTGGAAAGCCTTTCATTAGATACAGATAAACAGCAGCACCTTTTTAAACAACTGAATAGTAATTTTAAAAAAATGCAGTTGACAAACCGCCTGCCAAACGTGGCAACTATTATACCATGGGAATGGTATAATTGTTGCCACGTTTTGTGTTGGACATTATTTCGTACATGGTAGAGCTACGGTGCATCATGAATAGGTCGGCTCGACTGAGGATAGATGTACGCTGGCACAAAATATAAGCGAAAAATAGCAGTGTGGTCCTTCACCGGTCGAGCCGACCCCTTCGTCCTAGCATCATAATATAGCTGCAGCATGATTCCATCACATTAAAAATTCTGTGAAATCCAATTTAGTCTATTGCCACTTTAAAAATGGAACTGTATTAATATTTCTTATCTGATTTGTATAACCATCCTTAATCATATTATGAATCAGATTCAAGTATATTTTAAGCTGTTTTATCACTTGATTGTTGTGATTGTTTCCGTGTTTTTTTAAACTTATTTTTAATTTAATAATTTTAATCAACAATAGGTTTACCTTATTATCGCTACAATAATGTAAAAGAGACGATGAATTATCTTTAACTAAAAGCGCTTACTTTACTCTTATAGTTAAATATTACGTCGACGGACCTAAGGGTAGGGACAGCCGTAAACCACTTCAAGAACAATCAATTTAGGCTAAGTAGTTGGGGTAAGCGCGTTTATTTACCTATATTAACGGCTCGGTGGCGCAGTCGCTAAGCCTTTGGTTCCGGCACTGCGGGCCGTGGATCTTAATTCAGCGCGATGCAAGTGTATGTTTGTTCTACAAAGAATTGTTCCGGATCCGGATATTGCACACGTGCCATTTGTGTATTTAATACGTCTCTACGATAGAGGAGAAAATCTTAATGTGGGGGAACTTTTTTTTAAATATGTAAGCATAATGTTAGTCTGTGTTCAAAAAAATTTTCACAGAAAAGTTCTTGACGGTCGCAGTGCCAGGCGTATCGCTTTGACGCTGCTGTCCGTTACTGGTCTGGGTATTTTACCCTTGGTGTAAACAAGATAGTTATATCTTTCGCTATCTATCTCGATATAAACAGGACGAAATGTGATGAACTCTTTTACGCCGCGACCAAATGCATCCATTTATCTATTAACGTCTTTCAAAAGTCCATTACTGAACAAAGGCTTTTGCCATAGATTGCCTCATTTTTTTTATAGGATAAGGGTAACATAACCTACATCTATCTTCGAATACGAAACAAAATGCAGATGCGTTGTCACCCGTAAGGACTAAGATGGAATGTCTCGTTTCCAGTAAAATGGGTCTCCGGTCCTCTACACTCACCATACGAAACACAGCAGCGTTCAGCTGTTATTTTACGCTTCTATTCTCTGAGAGCGTCGTCTTTCCCCGTTCGAGCCGACTGATTAGTGCTACAACTATATTAGGTACTAATAGCTGCGGCTTGGCACTACCAAGTACATATTCGCTATAGCGGTTTTTAATTATTTCAAATAGTTATCAGAAAGATGCCACTGCCGTTGCTCATCTCCCATTTCATTTCCCTCTATCGCCTCTTACGACCGCCACCAGATGATAGTGAATAGTGCATACTCTTATTCCGCCATTACAGTAATCAAATAATAATATTACCTATTGTAATATTTATATATTATTGATCTCTTATAAATGAAACGAATGTTGCAAAACGCTCATAGAGTTTCATAGCACAATTGTGGAACCCAGTTAAGAGTTTCGCCTGGCTTGATGCCAAAGCGGGCGGGACCTACCACCATACTATGCAAGGTTAGCTTATGGAATGCGTTAAGGCGTACGTTGTTCGGATTTGAAAGTTGCTTGCTTACAGTCAGTCATGCAATATAATTATTTCTTTAAATTACACTTATTTACAGCAGTAAAGATGACAATCGATTACACAATCCACCTGATGATATATGGATCCTGTGTTGCATTGAGACTTACATTTTTCCTCCATTAAGAATCGATGCGTCGTCATCCTTGAGGAATAGAATGGAATATCTCGTTACACGTGAAAAGGGACTCCGTTTCTCGTCACTTACCTTACGAAACACTGCAGTATTATGCTGCTATATTACTCTGGTATTATATTATGTGAGCGTGTGGTCTTTTCTCGGTTAGGCCTGCAAATTAGCTTGAATATTAAATGAAACTAATTTTTACGGATTATATCACGTTTAATTTTAACTATTTTAATTCCCGACGTTTCGGGTGCTTTCCAGCACCCGTGTTCACGGGGGGGACTGAGGTTTTTGACGTCCTGATGTCATAGTTAGCCCGGCTACCTTCAGTTTTTTTAATATTGATTTTTGGTTCAAAAACTGAAAAAAAAAATCTGAAGGTAGCTGGCTAGCCGAGCTAACTATGACATCAGGACGTCAAACACCTCAGTCCCCCCGTGACCATTTCATTTAATGTGTAGTCTACGCGTAAATATAAGGAAACATTAGCTTGAATATTCGAGGACCCTCCTCACATTTACGATTACACTAGCAAGAATCAATATTAAAGAAATGTTCCCGCCGCGGGTCACCATTAGTATGGAAAAAAGGCGACAAAATAATCATCATCATTTTTACAGCCTTTTAAGCCCACTGCTGAACATAGGTCTCTCCCAAGAAATGCCACAAAGCAGGTTTCGGAGCCACATAAAACAATTTAATACTATATTCCAATAGTTTCACTTTTATATTCATTCAGTCAAATTATATGCGATGGATAACTTTTATGTGACGATTTAAAAATCGGGCCTAAGTATAGAACAGTACAACCACAAAATAATTATCTTCCTAATGGGGCCTGTAATGTTGATAAAATTTGACTTAATTTGTGATAAACAAATGGCTGCAACCAGTCGTTTCGATATTGAATATTGAGAAGCGGTAAGGCTCCTTCTCCGCCTAGGAGGTGCCTCTAGGTTGGCCACATTCTTAGGTATTT